TTAGCAGATGGATTGCCAGCATAGGTGCAAATCACACTAGGTAAGACTGTACCACGCTGGGGATTACGGCCTGAGGGGGCCGTGAATGGGCTCTTGTGACACTCATTCCCACCAAGCAATATGCAGTTCATCACGCTGCAATCAAACCATCTCTTTCAGTGTTTTGCCTCATTGGGCCATAAAGCCAAGCCTGAGATGAGGACTGCATTAACACATTGCCCCATTATACACCAGAGAGGTCCCCAAAGTGTGAGATTTGGGGGCGGAGGAGGTCTCACTTCATAGCTCAGTAAGAGATATTATATCCCACTTCCACAAGCCCATGGGTCCAGCCTGGGGAAATCTGTGAGAAATCCCCCAGTTCCCTGCTTTCAGCCCCCGCCCAAGCACCACCACGACTGTAAGAGATGCAGTGCCAGGAGAAAGCGGAAGCGCGCCCGCCGGGGACGAGGCAAGAAAATGAGCTGCTGTCGTCACGCCTGGAACAGAGCTTATAGCTCATGTACTGACGGCGCTTGAACAATGTCCCTTTTTGTGCTGCGTTGTGGAGCACTGCGCTGAGCTAGACTCATACTGTAACGCACAAAATATCTTGCATCTCCCCTTCACCCCTCTCTGCAGCTCCGCCGGTGCCTCCTTGCTAAATAACTGCAACAATTCGAGCTGAAGAGATTAGATCACCCCAGGGGTCCGTGCAGCAGAGCCTACTTAACACCAGCCAGTAATCTGGCATTATGCACTCTTTGGGACAGCAGTCTATAAAAACACACGCAGAGCACGCTGGCGGTTTCCATGGGCCGGTCCGTGCAGCCAGGGTTGCCTGGTTCAGCTATTTTCTCTTCTGCAAAGGCCCACCTACTCCTCGGAGTGAGAATTTGCCGTTCACACGTTGCAGCCTGCTATGACTCAGAGCAGCGTTGCTGCCTCCCATGCTCAAACCACAACTTCGCCCCTGGGTACTGAGCCGCCTTCTCCCTGATGGCTACCGTGGCCTCCTAAATACCTCTTGGGGTGTCACCCATTCACCCCATCCCTTAACAATAATAATGACTGCACTACGTAAAAGCTTCCCAGTCTGGGCTTGCTAAAATGAAGTCATCTGCTGTGTCTGACTCTCTGTATTAATCAAGCAGATTTTGGAGGATATTTCGCTCAGCTCTGTCGCTCCCCCCTGCTAAAAGTGGATGCTGCCTTGTATCTGCTGCACTCGTACCATGGAGGAATAGAAAATCCTTCGGCGATGCCAAATATAAAGCAGCCGTTGAACCATTTCAGTCTGTTCCTTGCCAGACACAGCCCCCAGCATGCCGTCGCCACTGCTCACGCTCTCCCTCGCTTTGTCGGAGGCAGAGCAGAGTCCTCCCGGCCCCGAGCCCCGCCATACGGCAGAGCCCCCGCTGAGCTGCAGAGCGAGGGACACCGCCGGCTCCCGCAGGGCAGCCCACAAGCCTTGTGCGGCAGCAGGTCTTGAAAGCCTGACGAAAGGGCTGATAAGGCAAAACCAGGCTTTGAACAGACACGAAACAGGGCACCTGACTCTAGAAAAAATACACTAAAAATGAGAAGGAAACCCCAGCTCTCATATGGTCATTGGCATAAATGCCAGGATGGAGCGTTATCAGCATTACCCTTATATAGTGAGGAATGCATATATTAAGAGGCTGACTCGCCAGGCTGGGCTGTGGGGCCCTGTAACACATGGGCTGCTATTTCTGCTTCAATTCCATGGTAAAAGGCCCTTTCCTAAACAAGGGTATTGTGCTCCAGGAACAACAGTATGGTCTGGTTTATACTACTCTTTCTGAAACACTCTGAGACCTCCTGATGAAAAGTATTACAGAAAAAAACAGGTATTCTTAATTCCTTCTTTGTCTCCACCACTCCGGGTGCAAAATACAGTCCATAATAGAGTCCCTAATATATCTGATCAGAGCATCAGCCACTTGCAGACATACAGCTACACTAATGTGTGGCGAAGCATGATACTGAGGAGGCCTGGAGTCTTAAAATAGAGACAATTTCCAATTTATGTTGTGTTATTGTGATACGCCAAGCATGAGATCCCAAATGCACCACGAATAATTGGTCTTACGCTTTTACTCTTCATGTCCCAGTCTTTCTTCTGCACAATTTTTGTCAATTGTTTCTTGCGCTCTTAATTATTAGCAAGGAAGGATGATGCGTGCAAACACTGTGGGGTAAATACTTTTCCAGCCAAGCGACAGCAGACCCCAGAGATATGTTTTAGCCTGCAGAGCAGATTATGAGTTACAGCGGGTGCGTATAGTCCCTATGACTAGCCGAGCTGTTCCTAATACAAACGTAAGGGTTTGACATAATACCAATGAAGTCACTCTCTTGAGGAAAATGAAGACCATTCCATAATGCTGAAGTATAATCAACATTTTAAAAACAAAGCCGTTTAATGTCTAATTCAGATTACTCTTACAGGAGTGATGAGTAGAGAGGGAAGGAAGCGTTGAATTCTGGAAACACATTTTGCCCTAAACACTCCTAGGCAGGCAGCTGGGATGTACGCTCATCAGCCTGGGCTGGGGCTGGGGTCGGGGCTGGGCGTGTTTCCGAGACATTCTTTGTGACAAAGATAATCTTAGATTTGACTGAGGGTTCGACAAGCACGGACTTGATTAACTTGGCTGTTGCACTGTTGTTAGAGGAACAGGACTGTACAAACAAGAACTCCCCGCTGGGTTTTTCAGAGCTGACCCAACTGCGCTCCAGTGACACCAGAGACAGACCAGCAGCAACGCTTTTGTACATCTCATCCCCTTTTTTCCGCATAAAGGTCTTCAGAGCGTTAGCAAGAAGGCTAGGTAGCCTGCCTGAGAAGATGAAATTGATGCTGGAAACAAAACAAAAGCCCACTAATTCTCTGTTATTAGTATCCTTCATTAGGCTAGTTTTTTCCATAAGGATTTATCTTGCTGTCTTATCACAAAAGCCGTAATTCCTTCTCTTCCTCATTTTTCTCATGTGCATCCAATGTTGCTTATGCAATTGCTGTACTAGCGACTGCAAGCTTGATATTCCTGTGGTCAAAATGGGACCATGTGCGGCAGTACACCATAGAGTCCCACTTCAAACCACTGCAGAAGCCGGGAAAAAACCGAAGGAGGAACAAGCGCTGTGTCTGTGCTCCCAGCCCGTCCAGCCGCTGCTGGTGAGGCAGCCCCGGATGCACCCAGCAGCGGCTGTCAAAGAGGGCACGGAACAGACACGCCTGGAAAAGTTACCTGGAGGAGACAAATATTTAGAAAAGATTTGAAAGTCTTTAGAAGAATACTCTGTGGGAGGCATATGCTGACTAAGGACAGCAAAGCAACCAAGAGGCCAGGGTGATGCCTTCGCTTCCTCCCCCGGGAGCCAGCTCGCCAGCGCCAGCGGCAGCGCAAGCGCTCCGCTTGGTCTTGCTGAGATGCCTTCGAGCAGGTGAGAAAGCTGGTTTGCCTCTATGCAGAGCTCTTTCTTGAGCAATGCATCAAACCCCACACCACAGCTGGTGCTGATGAATTTCTTCATCTTCTGCTGCCAGGCTTCAAAACCAGACTGAGATTGTTGTCTCAGTACCCCACAAGCTGTCAAATAAAAGTTTATCGTGGTGACTGAACCAGTAAGGCAAAGCCTCAGAGCATCGCAAGCTCTCTGCAAAGCTCCTTCCCATTAGTTATGCCTGTCCCTACTGTAAAAAATAACCATTTCCCTTCTTTCAGGGCAAGTTTTAGTAAGTTGGGTCCAGAATCGTAACACCCCATGTAACCCTGTGCGGGAAGCTGCAAAACTTCACTCTGAAAGTGCTGTTCTTGCTCCCAAATCTGTTCCTGACCTCTCTACATTTATTTTATGTGGGTGTGAAATTCTCTTTGACCTAATTAAAATTCCCACTTGGCATTTTGGCGCTGGAAATTTCGATGTAGAGCTGCTGAACAGAAAGTGTGTCAGATGCACTGTGGTCACCTCTGCCTTCCAGAGCGGAGACAAGCAGACAAGGGCTGCTGGCACTGAGATAATTTTACATTTAAGGCAGTGTTTAATTCTCCTAATAACCCCAAGATTGCAAGAACTCAAAACCTTAAACCCAGGATTAAGAGACCCCCTAAATATAGGCTTGTTGTTGCAGGAAGGTAAAAGAACAACAGAGTCGCTGAGAACTGTTCTTGAAAAACATTTATTTCTGTAATGGATTTATAGCGCTGATTCCCAAGCCCCAGTACAACACAGTTTCCCCCTACACATAATTCTGGGGACAATTACCTTTGATGGAAAAAAAAAAGCCATACAAAGAAGCCCCCCAAACAGTCTGGCACCAAACAAACTGTGCCCAGGTTCTCTCTGAGCCTCTGCTCTTGGATGTTTCATCCCGACTGGGACAGAGCTGCCCTGCTCCACCCCTCGGTCACTGCTGCAGGATGGTTCACTGCCTGAAGGCCCCAAATAACTGAAGATGTTGTGTATAACTGCAAAAAACCAGGGGGACATGGGCAGAGAAGGCTGCTAGGATTCAGCGGCTGCTATTTTTGCAGACATCATTTAAAAAGAAAATCTATGCATTTCCGTTTCACCTCCTGAGCCCCAGTGTTAGGAAAGTCAAATACAAACCCAGAGACCAATGTACACAAAATAGTGAACAAGTGTCCAAACATTTCTAAGCCCCTCACTTTACTGTGCCATGATACCTCCAAAAAACAACAAAACCTCCACATTCAGATCATGTTGGATCTTATTTTTAAGAGGGAGGGGTAGAGATGCAGCACATAGTGTAGCAACTGTCAAGCAATGTTTAAGGCAAATTTATTCCCATTTATTAAGAGTTGAAGAATTCTTTTGTTTGTTCGCTTTGTTTTTTAAGCTGTTAGATAACATCTCAGCTGGACATTTAAGCTTAGACAATTTAATCAAAGTTTGACTGGTCAACTCAAGTTGATCTGAGCCTACAACAGCGAAAAATATTATTCTCAAGAATATCAGTGAGAACAAATTAAAAAAAAATTAAAATAATCCATGTTCAGAACTCCCCCAAAACTTTCTCTCCTCAGAGACCAGGTTGAACCCAACTAAGACACACAGACATGCACGCATACGAAGAAGGACACAATGGCAAGCCTCTACGAACACAATGCTGAACAGGACCAAAGCAGAGCCAAACCTAAATTCCACAGATGCGAGAACACAGACAGAGTTATGAGTAAAAAAATGGGGGGGTGGAAATGACAGAACCCCAGAGAGGGATGTTTCATGAGATGGAATGGAAAAAAAAAGTCCGCTGTACGCAAAGGAAGGGAGTTCTTAGGTGCACACACAGAAAGCTGGGGATTTCAGTTGCCTCATCTCTCAGTTGTGTTAGTTTGTTGTGCCTTTCCCCTCCCTTTGAGATCCAGGTGATGGTGCCAGGAGGTTTGTGCGTTTACTCAGTCTGTGCATCATAATTAGCCCCCCCTGCTTTCTTCAGCTCGTTCTTAATGTAATCCTCATCCAGCTCTTTGTGGTCACTGATCACAAATTCTTTGGCAAAGTTCTGCAAGAGATAAAGAAAAAGCCTGTTAGAAAAGGGGATGCTTGCCCAAGTACCTGAAAAAAGAAGCGTTATCCAGCTTCCATGGCTGTATGAGCTGTGGTAGGGATGATAAATAAAAAGCTGTGGATGAGACAGAAGACTAGTGATGGCAAAGCCCAAGACTTAACCTGGAGAAATTTTATGCTTCTACTTCTACAGTCACCAGCTCCAAGACCCAATCCTGCCCTATGCAACAACCCTTCCTAGTGATAAATGCACAGGCTAGGTTAGGTCAAGTTTCCTAAGCAGTATGCAAACTAAAAAAGCTCAAAATTGTTCACCTTCTAACTGCCACAGACCCTCAGCACAATCTCTGTCTGTGCCCTGGTCCTTTTTAGGAGCCCTTCTCCCAAAACAAGGGGAACAGCGCTACACCACAGTACACTACAGTACCGTACCCCACCAGCTGATGGGAGGATGCTTCGATTAAAGATTGAGCAACACGCAGATGGTACCAGGAGCGAGTAAGTCTACTTCAGTGGATTTACTGACTCCTCCTCTCAACTACCTAATACACATCACGGCCAAAACAAAGATACTGTACTAGACAGGCTGCTGGTGTTGTTAATATGCTCCACTGTGCTCTGTGGTCTAATGATCCTAAGTGACCTTTAAGGACACGCGTTATTAATACACTTGTGTACTGCAGGGCAGCTATCTCGCTGCTTGAATGCTCTTTGCAACTTATGAGAGCTGGGCAAGCCCCAGGCAGCATGCCGTGACATGAGGTTGTAAACAGAGAAAACCTTTCTCAGAACAGATCGCTGTGAATGGGATCCCACGGTGCCTTTAGGGCACTTGTCACGATAGTGTCACTACAGTCAGGGATTTGTTCCTTTGTGGGGGCTGTCCCTCCTGCCTCATAGCAAGGGTGGCATGCATGTGTGTGCACAGATATTTCAGCAAATGTGCACATTTGTGTCTTGCTTTAGCATTTTCCTTCCCTTCCTAACCACTGCATGCGTCTGTCCCTTCCCCCAACCCACAGAGGTTTTAGACAGCATGAAAAACACAAGCAGTCATTGCACTCTGCAGGGCCAGGGACAAACCGACGACCAAAAAAAATGAATTAAAATCCCAACAGCCCTACTACAATGTCTCAAGTTGTCTCAGGAAAGCTGCAATGCCTGGCTTCCTGTGCAGCAAGCTCCCCGAAAGGTGAGGGAGGCTGCCTGGGAGAATGAGGCGATGCTTTGAGAGAGAAGCAGTCATCTCGTCCGGGTCTCCCCAGCACTGGAACAGCCCCGGCACAACCGTGGAGGGGGATGTTCTAATTGGTTTCAGACTCTAAGCCATGGGAGAGCTCTTTATTTGGCAGCATCTCAAGGGTCTCAGTTTGGGATCAGAGTCTGGAAAAGGGAGGGGGTGGAGAAGGATTCAGCTTGAAAGAGCCTCAGCACCTCTTTCATGCGGTGGAAGAAATGGAAGGGAGAGCAAAACAGCTTCCCCCCCCGCACGCCAGTCTCCCAGGCTGCGGCTGATCCTGTTTCACACTGTAGGAAATCCTCGCTATGGAAGAGTTGCCTCGGGAGGCGAGGGGGAGCTTATAGCAGCTAGGAGAAGCCTTGTCTGCTCTGCTTTAGTTTATGAGCAGCCAGACAAAGTCCTAAGAAATAGCAAATGCTTCACAGCACCATTTTGCTGCACACTTCAATGGTCGGCTTTTCTGGTGTGAGGACAGACAGACATTACAGGCACTCATCCATGTCTTAGCAGAGTTCAGGGAAAATGGGAAGGAAATTGTTTATTTAAAGAAAAAAAAATCCTTTTTTTGAGATGGGAAATGAAGAGGCAAACTGCTCAAACATCAGATTTGGTCACGCTCACAAGTGTCCTACTTCCAGATCTCCTGTGTGAGATCTCTGCTAAGCTCAGCTCTTGCTAAGACCAAACAAGTGATTTTCAACTCTTTGATGCTCACTGAGGTATGCTGCCTACCTGATTTCTGAGCTGAGCCTTTTCAATTTCTTTTCTACATGCTAACAGGTTTAATAAATTTTGCTCAACTCAGGCAGCAGATTATCCAGGACTACCCAACTTCAGTGCTACTGTTTGCCCTGACTTTAGTGAGAACTGAGGCAGGCCTGTAAAATCATTCCTGAGAGGGATTCCATGAAAAGTGTGTGTATTTTATACATGTGGGGAGGGTTTCCTTCAGTGCCCACTCTGCAGATTCCAGCTGATTCTGAAATTAAAACTGCAAGCGCACTCATGCATGAACTAAACTAGAGGGGAACTAAATTATATGTACCACAAAGTAATTAAAATTACTCAAATGTCTTCTCAACTAAGCAGTTATCCAGATGATTCCTGGGTGATGATTTGTGGGCACCAGCCACTATTTCATGCCAGTGCCACCGAGACACCTTGCAAGGTTTGAACAATCTCGCCCTAGCAGTGGCCAGATGGGTTATGTTCCCAGCCACTCTTAAATATCCTCTTAGCTGACTGGGCCACCTCTTGTGCCAGATTTGTACCCTTGGAGTGAATCTGGGTCACTGCTATTAATAACTCTTTGCTTTATTCCTTTCTGCTGGCAGGTGCTGTCAGGGGCATCTTTGGTTCTTCGCACTGGCTCTTACCCACCACGATGTCTCGGGGAGAAGATGCTTCCAGTGAGTTTGCTGCCTGGAACCCCTGATTTCAATATCCTGCTTGACCCTTCTTCAGCCATAGCCTCCCTCATCACTCTGAATTCACTGTTCGAGCTCTTTGGGGTTGAGTTTTTGTTCAGGGTGCAAATCATAAGGTGAAGGGAGGCATATAAGTATTTCAGAGACAGCTGAAACGGCCTCCTGTGTCATCAGGGCAGGAAGACAAGTAGGACTCCGGCTCTTAGATCAGGAGATTGGGCACCCATGATTAACAGCAGCACTTTTCAGCTGAGGGCCATCTTACCCAGAGTTGACTCTTTTTTGTCCCTCCTGAAACTCCCAGAAAGTAAAACTATTCCCAACTGATTTAATTGGGTCTGATGTTAGCTAGACCAGGCAATGGTCCTTATTTGGCATGACTGTCATCTGCAATTATAAATAATCGATCATAGCAAACTGGCTCCTGCAAAGCACCAAGAAAAATCCTAGCTTCAAGCGGCTAACAGCAATGCCAACAGGCTTCCGACTTCAGCCACATTACTGCTGTGCCACCAGATTTTCTTTCTGCCCGTAAGAGACTGGGGTGGGGAAAGTCCCTGCTTTCTCTTCTCTCACGCATACCGATATCTAATGCCTTTCAAGAGAATTGCAGAAGTTACAGCCGCCTAAGGCACAGTGCATAACTCTGATGCTTGGGCCCTTGCTTTGCTGACATGCATCTTCATTTTACATCCTCCACTTCCTTTTCTCTTCTCCTCCCCCTATCCCCAAGCTTTTTACAACCACAGCAAGCCCTGCGAGTGAATTCTAGCCTTTGTATTCACCCCGGAGTCACCAGCAGCCTACAGATAACAAAAACAATGATGCCATTTATCTTTATCACTCTCAGGACACACAACAGCGACCACAGTCTCTTTGCTTTGCCTCTCAAATCATTGAACACGACGTAAAAAGTAAGGTTTACTCACGGTTCTTCAATACACCTATCTGGCACATGTTTTACTTTGTGCCTGAGTCACAGAGGGTCACAATTTTGCAATCCAATCCCGTGTGTCAACCTCCATTTGACACTACAGAGAGAAAGGGCTCCAACCATGCAGGTCAGGTTGCAAAAAGTGAGCCTGCATCTCTCCCTGGGAAGCATGAAATTTGTACAGCAAGTTCAGTCCAGCCTTTCTCTTCCAAACAACTTTATGGGGGGAGAAAAAAAGGGTGGAGTAGATTTTCTTCCTATTCCAGGCCCTGAATATTTAGCATATGGGGCCATAAAATTTCCCTAAGCTGGCCAAGGGAAAATCTGGCTGGTGCAGATACTGTACCAAAAATGTCTGCAGAGGCCCTTATAAATCCCAGCATGAGTAGGCCTGAAGCCAGAAGGAAAATCCTTGTATCGTCTACAGACACTTGGGTTCTTAGCAGCTAGGGACGGTGCCAGGTAGTTGAACAGCTTCTTGCTGTTTTTATTTACATTGGGGCTTGCAGCAGCCTCCACTGATGTTCAAAATCCTCAGTTCCACTGTGCTTAATGTCACCACTCCCATCCACTGGTCACTTTATTTTCAGTACAGATGCAGTACAGAGGAGATGACATCTCCCATGTTTCTTTTCCAGCATGGTATGAGTCCTAGACCTGGGGTCATGGGGAAGAAAGGACATGTCCTATGGCTGCAGCAGATATATGTTCTAGCAGGGCTGAGTACAAGGAGAGCTATAAAGTGACAAGCACCTATAGCAATACGGTACCACTGTCCGCCACTCTACTCTGGCTACCCCAAACCTGGTCCTGTGATCAGCTGTCAGAGTCCAAGCTATCAGTAAAAAACCCTCAAATTTACTCCTTGCCAATTTTTACACGGACCAGTTCCAGCCACTGGGAGAAGCCAGCCCAAACCTCTGGCAAACACATCTCTCAGCAATGGGAACTACATTTCAGCTGATCTGCAAATTCTTCCTATCTGTGCTGCATCCCACTGGAAAAGTCACAGGACTGTGCGTCAAATGTGGGGTGATGAGAAGCTGCTTATTCTGGCCTGAAGAAGTTACTTATAAAATTACCACCTTCTCTAGACTAGGACTAGAAATTCTTGTAAATCCATATCCATTTGGTATGGTCATTACAGTAAACCAGAATAGGAAAAACAGTCAAAAAGAACAGTTCTGTTTGCCTTCCCAGCAGGATCTCACTCACCTTCCTGAGAAAGACTGTCTCAAAGCCACCGTGACATAGCCATTACCATATGAATTTGATTTTCTGACTGTCTCTAGCAAAGCTATTAAACCATCTTCTGTTCAGGCCACTGTACTAACATGAGAAACCTAATGCATGTACGTGGAGTTATGTGTGTTGTATCTGTCCTGAGACCAGGGACAGTAACCCTGTAAGTGGGTCCTCCCTCATGAGGTACCAGCATCAGTGCAGCGAGGAATCCAGAGGCAAAGAGAAAGGTGAACAACAAAAGATCTGTCCATGAGCTCCAAAGCAGGAACTCAGTAAACTTGTTGACATCACTAAAGCCAGGCAAATTCCTCACCCAAAATAATAATGAATAAAATGCCACAAATATTTGCTTACAGAAACAGAGCTGTTTTACCCTGAATATGATTTAGGCAAATAATAGAGCGCATGACTTTGTGGGGGCAGGAGTGCTGAGGAAAACAGATAAGAGTCAAAATTCATGGAAAATAAGACAAACCGGCAAAGGTTGGGCAGTCCCTTTGCTGAGACAGCCCTGAAAGGGAATTCAGTCCCGTCAGGAAAAAGACCTCCACGCTGTATAATGAAGGGTTAAAATCTCCTGGTAGGAAATGCAGTCATGAAGGGCAACAAGTTCACAGAGAGGAAGCAACACTCAGAGGGAAACCAAGTCCTGTTTTCAGTTCTTCAGCATTTACATCAAAACCGGACCACTTCAGCACCGGTTGCCACTCCCAGCCCCGCAACCGTCGTGTCTGGGCTTGTCCTTACTCGAAGAAAAGCACCATAAATAACATCATCCCTCTGCCTCTCCTCAAAGCGAACGGGGCCCTTCACTGGAAGGCCTGATGCTCCTGTACTTAAAACCCACAGCTGCCAGGTTTCACCTTGCAGGAATTTTTATGGCTGAACTGAACCTCATGCTGGCAGCCGTTCCTAGGCATGACAAGCAGCTCATAATAGCCTTGATTTCTGGGCTTAAGCTGGCCGACCTGTTTCTCCTGGGCCTCTGGACTAAAAGAGGTCAAAACAACAGCCCTCAGAGCACAGAGAGTCTCCTGGATGGATTTGTACTAAGGCTGAATGAGCCACAGCTTGTGCGTATAGAGGAGGTAAAAGGCAGAACCAACCTTACTGCCAGGACCAAGTTTAAGACCAGCTTTGGATGATCTCCTTTTTAGCCAAGTAGCAAATATGCCCAAAGCCTTTCTGTTCCGCTGGTATCTACTGGCGGCTGGGTACAACCTTGGCATGACAACTAGTGGCACACAGCGATCAAACTGCAGCTGGGCAGAGGACACAAATGCCGTGGGGTCTGCTGCGTGTGTGGCTACTGTAAGCATCTGCCAGTTCACCCCCGTGCACAAGGTAAGGCACGCTACTGCTGATGACAAAACAGATGCAGCCTTGTAGTTTGTCATCCTGGCTTACTGTTTCATAAAGTTCCCCAGCTGTTAAGTTTAGATCATTCTAGATCTAGGTTTGGACTGTACCCCAGAAATGAACTCCCAAACATCTTAAGCAACCATCTGCAAAGCATGGGACGTTGTGTGCTACTACCCCCACCCCTAGGTCTGTCCTTGACCTAGACAGAAGCTCAGTGGAGAGAAGATGGGATACTGCATCACCTTACTCCATGCCTCCATTTACACAGGGAAGTCTCCACACATTAGTACTTAGCTATACCCTTAAGAAGATACAGATAAATGCTTGTTTCCTATCCTGGCCTTACTTCTAACCTGCTCTCAGCTGAACTACTTGGACCAGGTCACAGGCTTGATCCAAGATTTCCAGCTGAGGTAAAGAGGAAAGGGTGGAAAATAAATGGCTGTGAAAAAAAGCTACTCAATGTTCCTGAAATGCAAAATGCATTTTTCTACAATCCAAAATAAAGACAATAAATGCAAAACCCATTTGCCAACAATATTAAAGCGGTAATAAGGATAGTCCCAAATAGGCAAGAAGACCTGATTCTCAGCTAGCACAGATCAGGAGAACTATGGCTATTTGCACCAGATGAGATCAATCCCTGTAATTTTGCAGTTATTACACCTAAAAATCAATTGCCCTTTCTTCCTGAGAGATTTTCTGGCAACCTCCTCCGCTGACTATCAGCATTGCTTCCCAAGCCACCTCCCTACAGATTTCACAGCACCTGCTCCCCCTTCCAAGGGAGGAATATAAAAGCAAGGGGAACCCAGTTCCTTTCCTTGCTTTATAATATTTCATCCTTTTGTTCACAAGCCCATAATCTACTCTTCAACAGTTAATGTCCCTTACAGTTTCGTTATGGCAGGTGCTTCTAGGAGACCATTAATAATCACCCTATGTGAACACTCTTTATTCTACAGATGCAACATGGTGGACTTTGCTTATTAGGAACTATTCAAGCTGACGGTCTTTCACTTTGAGTGTCCCGGCGGAAGAACAACGTTTATTGGCGTTTGTTCAGCTTTGAGCAGAGCTCAACCATAGCTAACCAATGCATCTACGACGTAGCAGAGAATGTAAAGCAGGCCTCCCCTCACACTGGAGCTTTGGTCCTAAATAAAAAGCCACGATTAGCTCTTGCAACTATTACAAGATAGTGAGAGCCCTTTGAGTTTTACTGAGGGCTTCTCAGAGTGAAAAGCTGTTGTTCTAGAATCCCAACCAATCACTTCTATAGATCACAAAATCAAAGCCGTTATTGGCTGCACAAAAAGCCTCCTTGCGCCACACTTCCTTGGAAGGAGAGCCATGTCACACAGGGTAAGTGCACCTACGGCCATGCACGCAACTAAAACTGCAGAGAGCCAAGCTGCAGCAATAGCCTAGATTCTCTTCAGGGTTTGTAAAGAAAAATATATCCACTTTAGGGTACTACTTCTTCTAAATGATGAACCAACACTGAGTCAGATTTATAGTTTATCATTACAGCAAACAACCAACTGTATTTTTCTATAGTATTACTCACATCACAAATAATCTCTGTAAAAATCAGCAGCAGTGGGGTGACTGGGAATGTACTTGAAGGTCAAGAGTACTAGTAGAGTGAAATAGCTCTGGGATAAATTCCCTCCACTAAATTTCAGTTGGACTTTCTTGTCCTCTTTTGTTTTGACAGATTATCTGCAAGCTTACATGCATAAAAAGAAGAAAATAGTTTGGCTTTTATCCCACTCAGAGGGATTCAGTTGCACATGTAGAACTATTTGAAATAGTCAAGATAATTTCTTATGGAAAGGAGATCACCACTGACATTACATTGAGAAATGCTCTGGAGTGGGTTATAGACAATAAAAGTGTATTAAGCACAAATTGTATTGTTTTCATATTTTAGTACAGATTAATTGGAATATGAAAGCTTTTGAGTAACAGCCAAGAATGGTTAATGTTCCACCAGATTATTAACTCATACAGACTACTAATCAAAGATGAAACAAGTGAAATTGCAAATTATAGGTAACAGACCTGAGGGACAATCTTAGAACAGCATTCAGGAATGCTATTCAACTTAACAGGAATAAATTGTCTAAATGTATTTTTAAAAAAATCTTGGGCTTAGTGACTCTTATATGAATCACTCATTAGTACTCTATAATTTTATAATTTCATCTTCAGCTACAATTACACAGTTTCAGCTGCTTCACATGAAGAGAGATTTGCTTTCCTATCTCTCAGGTGTCATTACAAAAGTTTCTATTCAGAATGGACGCCTCTGCATAGTTGTCATTTTGAAAGATTTAGCACCAGTGCTTATCTTCTGGAAGATAATATATTTATTATACTCTTCATGCTTCTTATCTAAATATAATCTTCTGTATCATACAAACTACCAATGAATTCAGGAGGACTTCATTCTCATCCTTCATATCATCCTATTGGGAGACTTCTTTACACAGGCAAGAACACAATTATTGAGGGAGATTATTTCAATGGTCAGCCTGCTCTCCAAGCACATAAGAAAGACCATTTCGCAGGCACTGGAGAGCTGGCCCTAGGTTTAGCTGAAAGAGCTAATCTTGCTTTAAATAATTCTTCAGAGGGAACATGCTAAACGTTAGCATCTTCTCCATTAAAGTCAGCTTTGCGGCCTTCCACAATTCACTTCTCTCGTGGCTGTTGCTTGTTTTCACTCACTTGGACTGAGCTTGGAGCCCAACAGAGCGAGCCCAGCTCAAGGTGCCCTGGGAGGCTCAGCTGGGGCAGGCAAATTCAAGTGAAGCCCTTCCAAGGTGTGTACAAAGCACACTTCTCTTTTTCCCTGATACACCCAAAGCCAAACAGAAGACTATTGAAATCTAGTTAGCTATTGAGAGCTGTTAGTTAATTGGTACCGACAGGGACTTCAGACTTTAGTTGATTAGGTCCATGAATTCACCGTGCTGAGACAAAGGGCCTCAAGAGAAAAGTTTAAACAAGGGCGTGGGGTTTCCTGTTTAGTTTTACCTGCTCAACTTAATACTGCCTTGTTCTCTACTATTCAGTATTATGTTATTTCCATATCAAGGAAGGAGATGGGAAACACCTTAATGGTGACAAGGAGGGGAGTGCATATATTCTCTCTTCATGAAATTGTTAAGGCAGCCTTAAGCTCAAAGTGCTTCTTTATGCCTGAGTGCTCAAAGGGCAGATGTTAAGTCTTCCTAATAGGAAGACAGGCAGTAGGAAACCATCTTCTTTTTAAAGGATTAACTACTAAGTTGAAGGATGATCCAATCCTTCCCCCTCCCTTACCTCCTGCTGGTGTTTGTAGAGCTAAAAGCTGGTGGTTAGAAGCAGAAGGAAGAGGTTACCTGTACTACTTCTTTGACCAGAGTCTTGTCGGTCCCAGTTTTGGCTCTCTGCAGGCCACTGACATCCTCTCCAATCCAAGTGATGAGGGCAAACTTGACTCGCTTGCTCATGGCATCGCCGGTGGTGAATCGGACAAAGCCAAACAATCGAACATCATCTGGAGAGACAAAGCAACAAGGGTAAAGTGGTTGAAAACAGAAACATCCCTGCCTTGCGATATTCCGGGGCGAGACTATTGTTCTCAACTTAAAGACCAAGTCAAGGCACTGATCCTGTGTTATAACAGCATTGTTCTGGATTAACAGGGCAATACAGGGGCTCTGCTCACATGCCCTTCACTTGCAAGGTGCACTTTGCCAGTGTTAGGTCTGCCTCTTCCTGGGGTGCTCTGAGTTACTGGGAGGAACCTGGCTGTTCCGCCCACCCCACGCCACATTAGTGTGCTGCTACTGAGTTTGGAAATGGCTAAAATGCAGTCAACGGGCAGCTCAAGAGCACAGAGCTAACCCCAGTTACATTCAGCCAGATCATTCATCTGCAGGTCAAGAAGGGAAGAAAGTGATTTCCCAGCATCTCTTTCTTACAGGATAGCAGGAGTAGGGCCACATTTTATAACATATACCCAGACTCTGGCCATTGTGCAAATCTGATTCTTTCCTCTCCTTCCCTTTAGCAACATTTCTGGCTCACTTCTGGTATGAGTTTACAAGAAGGAGGGGAGAAGAAGGAGCAAAAGAAAAATCTGCAATTACTTCCCCATATGTGCTTTCCTACTCCTTCCAAAGGCCTTGGATTTTAAAACTGTTCTGATCTTTGTTTCACAGCTGGTTTCTGCTATATCATGCCAGACTAGAGTTATTTAGTCTGGCCTTATGTGTAAAACCCTTGTAAACTCTTTGTCTCGAAGGGTTTGTTCCTTCGTTGCAGGGTGACTCATCAGCTGAGGCAGCTGGGCACCTTCATGATCACAGGCACTTAGTAAGCGTGTGATACCATCCACTCACATCCTCAGCCTCGGTGGCATGCACGGTACTAGCGCCTTCAACCAGGATTGTGCAGGGAAGCAGAGCAGATGGACAGTTGTGCAATCGTGGAATATACCTAATCATAGCCACTTCATCTGTTACAGGTCACTCAAGACCTTTTAAATGAAATGAGATGACTCAAAATAGAAGAACAAACTTGCTGTTTGAAAAGAATCATGTTAATTCTGGTTACACTTGTTGTGACCAGTTCAACATGTTTTATAGCTATTTGCTGTCTTGACTACTGCCCGGTGAAAACGCAGGCTCCAGGTGTAGTAATATTTGCCAACACCCCCATCTTCGGACCCGTTACAGCATGCTCCATGAATGGTGAGGACAGCCCCAGGAGCTCCGGGGACAGGGGAGAAGCAGCTCCGAATTGCTCATCCTCAGAAAATAAGCTGCTATAAATCAATGCAAAAAAGTGGGATTTTCTCTGAAAGCTGTCAGTTCTCAGAGCTTCTTTTAACACTTTGTTTTGCCAAAGTGTGAGTAAAGACACCTTCCCCTTGATAAAATATAAGAAGTTTTTAAGTTCTTAAAAACTCATGCTCTCCCTATTTTGTTGTCTGTGTACTTTTTTGCCACTGACAGAGGACTACTGGGGAAAAATGGAAAATGTATGTAGGGGGGTGTGTAAGCCAGTACAGTGTTGAAAACAAACTCCTCTAATGATTTCAAATTTGAAACAAAGAGAAAGAAAGAGATCTTACTCAAAAGAAAAATCCACATGGATCTTTGGAAGGAGAATAAGAGTCATGTGTATCAACAGCACAGGCAAACAAAAATTCTCTCTCAGATACCGAAACACTGGCAAGTACAAGAAATGGACAGAGAGACTCCTGTTTCTGACAGTAAATCCTCTTCCCAAGATTGATTAGAACCATAAATGAACGGACAGCTAGGAAATACCCAAGGTGAAGAGAGACAGTAAATCCCCTAACGTTACTATTAACAGTTCTATGAAAAAACCTTGCTTTCCCAGATCTGACAGTAAAGGAGGCCATGCTCTGCTAAGAATTGTACTGTGGTTCCTATGGGAACACAGTGCTGAAGGCACTTTAATGTCATCAAGTCCTGGCCCCTACTCTACTGTAACCGTGTCACAGCCCTTCCCATGGACCCATCACTTTCCACCTTGAGTACGTCAGTTTTTCATCCCTGCCCCTTCTACCAAAGGCTGTTACAGATCCTGAAGACTGCTTTGGAATATGCCCCTTTATAATAAAGATAATGCAAAAATACAAGGAATGTGAAGAATTCCAAGTTTTTCTGCAGTGCTTTTTCAGAGCAACGTGGAAAGGAGGTTGAAGGAATTCATCTGTCAGCATGAACTTTAATTTGACGTGAACCCACAGATCACTGGCAGCAGCAGGACTTGCTTCCCAGCAGAAGAGTTTGAGTGCTTTCCCATCCTGTCTGAAAGCAGCTTGGTCAGGGGCACTGAAGAGAGCCAAACCCAGCAATTCCACATGGGCTTTTATCTATTAGATCACCTACTACTCAGTGACTATGAGCAACTCTTACTTCATCACGTTAAGTCCCAATAAGTTTAACGAGTGCTTGAGGTTAGATGTGGGGCTCTGAGTCACTATCTTGGGCAGAATTTACCTGGGGCAGGTTTACCTGTGGGGGCTTGAAAGGTTACACCCGAGCTACGTGCTTTCTCCTGCCTCCCCATGGAGCTCGTGTATCCCCACGGTAGGCAGAACAGGCTCTTCAGCTGCCAGTTTTCAGTCCAATGTATTTAATATAAACTACCAATATGCGATGCTGTAACTTGATGTGCCAGTCTGTGAATTGCAGCAGCTGAGGAGCATTTCAGCAGCTGCAGATAAAGCCAAGAGGGCATGTGAACTGGAGCCCTTAGCAATTAACATGTCTCTTTTCCTAAAAGGGCAACAGGGGCAGAAGTGGAGATTTTTAGCACTAGTTCAGCCTGGGTATGTGCCACTCTAACTGCAGGTCAAAATCCCTGAGCAGAAGTGGTTGAGTTTCACAATTAGTCTGAGGCATGTTCAGAGCGATAACGAGATCAAAGCAGAAGTTCTTTTATACTCCCAGATTTCCTCTTCCACAGTTAAGCAGTTCTACCCTACCAGATCACCTTGCTGCGCTGGAAGTCATCAATGCCATCAGTGCCAACTCCCTGAGAAATCTCAAGGCCTCAGTACCCACGCCCCCTCCTCCCCTTTCCCACAAACCCACTTGTAGTGGTTTTAGGAATTGCTGGGGGTGTGTGGGAATCTAAAAAAATCGTAGAGAGACAGTAGATTTCCTCTGAAAGAGGAAATCCTGCCTAGCTCTATGCAACCACCTTCCTAGTCACTTAGCCATGAATTTCAGGGCAGAGAGAAGCAAATTATAGATCTGCGTAGAACGGAAATAGCAGCTTTACTTGAGAAGATCTCACAAGTTACAAACACCAGAAATTAACAACGTTAATTCCTACTAATACCACTACTCCTTTAACTACAGTTGTACAGCAAGACAACAGGGCTATACAAACAATGAAGAGCACAATGAATGCCTTAACGAGCATCACTTAGTATTTTTCTCCAATCCCCCTACGTATCAGTAGGCAGGATTTTCCAAATATACTGATTAAGCTGGCCTTGGCCATCAACAAAGCTCGATGCCAAGCTGCAGAGATTTCCTTACGGTATTCCCCTCCTTTTCATCCACTCAAACCCTTTGGTTCAGCTGTACTAAAAAATTCCCCATTAGATTAAAATGCACTGACTCATCAGTAAAAGATAATAGCTGCAGGAAAGAAATACACCGTCAAAAGCTTCATGGTTCTTAGTGTTACGGCTCTGAACGGCCAAGCCAGAGACATGCCAAGATAAGGCCACCGCTCCCAGCTTCACCTGCCTGCTAAATCAAGGTCACATACAGCAAGGCAGCTGATGGAATGATCTGCAGTTGTGTTCTGTCCAACGGTGAATTACTGATAGCGCATGACAGATTTCACCAAGGATTTATTTTGTTTGTTTCAACTGGATTCATTTTAGATTAATTTGTCAATTTTCCACCTCTTCAGTCACCCCTGAAGTCACGTGGCTGGAAGCGCAGGCAGAAACCTTCCCTACCTCTTCCTACACTGTTTTCTCCCCTCTTCAACCCTGTACTGAAGCCCCTGTATCTCATGCAATGCTGCCTTGCACCACGCAGACATGTTCATTAAGTCATCTAAGACAAATACAAAATGTTTGACCTCAGGACTGTAACCAAGGCATGCTGTGGCTGGGCCACCAACCTTACTCACGTAACCCAGGGTGGCTGACGTGCGTACGAGGGTACTCGGGACGCATGTGCATGGGGAGGATGACCCCACACTGACTTCTCCAGCTTTTCTGGTCCAGTGAGGCCACCAGCAGCATTTCATCAGAATGAGTTGCTGCTACCCCAGTGACAGTGGTCTTGTATCGGTCTCTCTCCTGACCTGGGTGCATACTGGAGTGCAGAGTGGGAGGAAACAGGGGATCCAGCTAATCTTTGCTCCCCTTTCTTGAAGGAAGAAACGGTTGCATTAGTTGGCCAGAAGTGAGGGCCAGGCAGGCCCCAAAACAAAGGGCACGCAAAAGATATATAATGCTCTTCTTTACCTGCTCTTATGCCTAGCACAGGATGATAAAATGCAGACCCACAGACATACTATTTTAATTAAGCATCACGAAACTAAACTGAATGCAAAGTTCAGTGCAGAACTTGACCTGATGAGTTACTCCCACAAAAATTAATGAGAATACTCCCTAAACCAACCTCCTGTCCATTGCAAGGGACAGTCTAAGCCACAGCTCCAGCTAGCAGCCAGGAGATCGCTGCCAACTGCATGCCATTTCAGCTGACCCTCCCAAGAGCAGGGCTTTCACAGCAAGCAGGGAGGGCACAGGGGCAGGGAAACGCTGCAAAGAGAGTGTGAAATTCCCATAGACCACCCATGGCCCCAGGTCTTCCTTTAAATAGATATTAAGGGAAAGCAGGCAAGACGAACATTAGAGAGGAAAAACAAAAGCAGTAGGAGACTGACTTACAAAGCCCATTTTAGCAACTTAAGATGTAGCCAAATACAGCTAAGCACCTATCTCATTATATGTCCTCATGGATTTTTACAATTCTTTCCTACAAC